CAGACTGGTTAAAAATTTTGGTTAATGGTATGGATATGACTGATTTAGCAACAAGCTTTTGTATGGCAACAAGCTAATTTCTGTTTCAGGTGAGCTACTCAAATCCTGAGTGTATTGGTGTATTGTTTCGTAGGCCTCCGAAAAGGTGACCCTCTCATCAGGTAAACTCCATTATTACTCATTCAAAAGATTTCCCTGATTCTGATTGGCTAAAAGCTCACATTTAATTCACCATAACCAATTACTGATGACCAAATTTGGAAGAATTTTGAGTTTTAGCGAGGAAACGACATCAAAAATGCAGCGTTCTTGCAGGTTAATGCACCATTAATCGAGAAGACCTGGGGACAAGGTTGAGTTGTTTTGGTTGTGAACTTGAAAAATGGCGGACATTTCACTTGTTTCAAGAGTACGAACTAGGCGAAAAAATAGCTAAAAACATGGCAAGATCAGCAAGAAGACAACTCGAAGGGCGACATCTGCTAGTTGCAGAATATTTGCGGAGCTGAACAACCCTAAAAGTGCACTATCAAAGATGAACTTAACATCAATGGATCGATGGAGGTAAGCACGTTTTAGCCATGTTTTTAAACTAGGAATTATTTTGAATGAATAATAAAAAAATTACTGAATTCAGCATTCGTATCATATGAAGAATTATGACGATCTTGGAGGGTGTTATCCGCCTTGGCCTATGGCCTCGACGCATAACAACCTCCTCGATCTCCATAATTCTTCATAAGATACTCAGCCTCATTCAGTAATTGTTAATTATAACTCTGAAGCATTAAAGTCTACATCAACAATATGACCGCGTGATGAAAATGGCTACATATAACGTTTGAAATTTAAATTTTTAAGAATTTTTATAATGAAAAGTGCGCATGTGCTCTTAATCGCCTACAACTCTTATATGAAACCTAAGTCACACTAAATGCTCGCGCTAAAATCTCTGGCTTTGAAATGTTCAATTATACCTTAGGATGAACTTGCGTTGATGTCTACACTATTGTTGAGACAAGTTTGTTGTGCTTGTTCAGTGTTGCCATGTGAGGTATATATTTACATTATTCAAGTGTATTCATGTTATTGTTATTGTGCTTTTTTTGGAGATGAACTAGATGTCAGGGTTAACCTCTTCATCCCCTCCTTTTCCTAAGTTGTGAATAATCAGTGCATGATAATGAGTTGTTTTTGACAGACTGTGCAACAAGCTAATGATAGATAGATGTAAGCATTCTCTCTTTTTTAATTTGAAGATGAGTGGTATCGATAAACTCTTGCCACGATGTTGGCAGATTTTCCGCACAACCATGTTAATTTAATTAACTAGGAGGTAGAATTTAGGCTTTAACTGTGGTCTGTGACTTAAGTTGATAAAATATTATGGGTAAACTGTATGTTTATTGGTCTCTAGAGGTATAGGATCTAAGCTGATCTAAATTGTAGCCCCTTGACTTTATCATGGAAAATTTCTTATACCCTTTGGAGTTTTGCCCTTCAGAAGATTATTACAAATTTGCTGGGGGACACTTAAACGCCATGTGAATGTGAGTGTAATTTTATTGTGGTGAACTGTGCACTTGTACATTGTAAGGTGTGTGGAAATCACTTACTGTCACCATATTTAACTTTGGACCTGTATCTTAGTGTCTTTCTTCTTGTTCAAAGTACATGAATTTTTTAGGCTATCATTATAAAACAATTTGGTGATGCAGTTAGAAAGTCAATTTCTAGATCTGATGGGTTAATCTCTCCTGGGATCTCTAACAACTTAAATCAGTTATTTTGCAGAGGCTTGGAAATAAGCTCTCTGCAATTTGACCCTTTTGAAGGGTCTCTCTGATATTTTTTACCAGCTGTTTGTTTTTCTTGACTTGTTTTTCACTGGCACACTTACCTTTAATTGAATTATAACAGCAGCAGTATAAAATACAGTCTGGCATCAAATGTCATGAGTTGCTTTTTGTGATAATTTGGAAACTCAAATGGCAAGTAAATGATCTAAACTGGGATATAATTAGGTTTTTGCACTTTTGAAATCAAGTGGCACAATACCGTTTTTTTATTGGTAGTCATCTTTTGTCTATCAAGTTCCATGTTGCATGTGAAATGGGATATTGTTGTCTGATGCAGCTAATCCAGTTAATATTTACTTGTTTATTGTTAACTCAACCCTTATGCTCTATATTATTTTATTAGTTATGCATAGCAAAATGCTCTATGTACCTGAACAGTTTGTGTTGTTTTCTCTTATTGGTATGTACATGTTACTTTCATAGAATGATTTTGGACTCTTCAAAATAGATAATGATCTCATAATATGTTAAGGAGGTTCATTTGTATGTCTGGCCTTAGGAATTCTTGATTTCAATGCAAATGATTTTATGTTTAATATGCAGCTTGACTTTAAAAACAGTTGGTGAAATTTAGTTTTCATTTGAAATACTGAAAAGTTTACTTGACAATTAATGATTGTGTATGTACATACAGTGTTCATAATTATATAGAGGAGTTGGTATTTGATCATCCATCCAGTGTTATAGATGATCTGGTTTTAATAAATTAGTCATTTCTTCATACATATGAGGAATAATAATTAGTTCCTTAAAGGTGACAAAAAGTATGAGTGTGTGATGCATAGCCAGGTATGTCCAAGCTACTAACTTAAGACGAAATGCTTTTTTTTCTGTAATGTTGTAAATTAAAAAATCTGTTTTCCACTATATAAAAATAAATTATTGTAAGTACATGTACATGTAATATTATTACATTGCACTTGTCTAAAACGTGATAAGGTTTTTTTTCCACTGTCATTTAATTCAGAACTTGATTTGAATTTACTAAAATACTGCAGTTTCTTGTGATAATTTAAATTGTACATTTTTCCTAATATTTTGATAGCTCAAATCAACAAAAGTTACCTATAGTTACCTATAGTGCCACTCAAAAGTAAGTTACAGTATTTATTTGATTAACCGTCCTGGGTGCTTATTAAATTTTTGGACCTTGAGAGTGGGCGCTTATTCGAGGTGGGCGCTTATTCAAGGCTGGGCGCTTATTAAATTTTCATCATTTTCAGCAAGTGAAGTATGTTTATTTTGCAACAAAACAATAAATCCTAATAACAAAACACGAAGATGTAACAAAGCAAGGTGTTTGTAAAATACTCTGAAGAAAACTCTGTGCTCGGGTACGAAGTCTCTTATTAGAATTTTTTCACTCAAGTAAGTGGGGTGGGGGTGGGCGCTTATTTGAGTTTGATTGGGAGGAGGAGGGTTGGACGCTTATTTGAGGCTGGGCACTTATTAACTTTTTCTGCCTTTAGGATGGGCGCTTATTCAAGGTGGGCACTAATTCGAGGTTGGGCGCTTATTTGAATATACGGTAGCACCCTCTAAAAAGGCATGCGCTACGTGATAATTTCCTGTAGTGCAGGATGCCATTCTTGTATTGAGGGATGGCCAGAAAACTGAAACTATCATTGCCAAAGTTCTTGAGCAATTTAACGAATCAGTGGTAAAGCTTTGCTGTTACTAACACACAAATAAGGATCGGTATTTCCATATGTGTAAAACATGCTTTTAATAAAGCCGCTTTATAACCACTGCACCACCTAGAAAACTACCTGTTTTAAAAAAAGTTTGAGATGATAGCTTTGAGATGATTTGGTTCTTCTCACTTTGGAAACTAGAAGCAGCTTTCACATTTCGGCAAACAATAAATCAGTGTCAAGTAAGACTAAACAGTGTGCTAGTGACAAGCTAAAAGAGGGGGACATGGACATATTTGTGGTGTTGTGGTATCGCTTATTTTTTTGTGTGGTATTGTGGTGAATAACATCCCATCTTGCGCTGTTGCAGTGATGTTAGACTGTAGGGTGTGCAGTAATTAATTCTGATTTTAAACCTATGGTATTCGGTGAAATGAAATAACTTTCAGACACTTTGCGGTGTTGTGGTTTATCATTTCGCCATAGAGACTAAGACGAGGCACCAGGCAAAATGAGCCAAAACTACAACCTACATGTGAACGATCCACAATGACCCAAAATGATTAATAACATTCAAAACTAATTTGCAAAAGATCCACAGCAACCCAAAACAAGCCAAAACAAGTTCCCCCCTTCTAGGAAAGTCTGGTAAAATTAACTTTAATATCTCACCACTGCTTTTTTATAGCAGGAGTGAAGGATGATCTGTATGCTCTTTTTTTGCAAAAAAGACTTTGACAAAACAAATGGGTAACAGGCAAAATCTTTTCTTCTTTTTTTTACAACTGTTTGCTCACTCCCACAGGCGTTGCATGCATTTTTCTATCTGCGTTAATGAAATAATAGAGTTCGCAAAAATAGAGTACCGGTAAGTGAAAAATAGAGTCTTGAGGTCAGTCTCAATCTCTACTAATCACTACACCAGTTCCGAGATCCTCCATCCCCAGTTATATGGAGAGTTGGATTAGATTAATCGTAGGACAAAAACTTAAATTGTGATGTTGGTGTTTTGCCCCTTTTTTGCAGTGATGCGGTGTTTTTTTTTCTGCGGTGTTGTGGTGTTGAGAGTCCCCCAATATCCCCCTCCGTAAAGAAAGCTCAAAAGAAACTTAACACAAAACCTAACACTGGTTTTCCTCAGTCTCTGAGGTAATGCTAAGTGAAATTTTTAGTTAGTTTCTCACCGGATGTGTCGTCAATAAAATATGCCAAAAATTGTAGCTTCAATGATTCTTGCGCCATGTGATCCTTGTAGTGTGCGACCAGAATAATAAATACATAATTGGTATTAGTGTTATCTGCTTGCAATAATTATGGAAAGTTAGATTACGATGTTCATTCTTTTTCTAAGTTATGGAAAGCAAGATTTTTTCCCAAAGGGAAGGTAGGACTATGACCAGTGTCAGATCTGGATGTTCATATTCCACTAACACTTATTTTGTTCCTATGACATGACTCCTGGGTTGATTTAGCATTCACTGTGAAATATCTTTTATTTATAATTTCAGCCTTTGCCCTTTTCACATTGATTGTCTTTGCTGATGGAGAAACCAGTAAGTTGTATTTAATGTGGATAGTAGCTGTTCCTTTATAAAGACCTGCCGACAAAATTGTTTTTTCTGATTTGTACTTATAACATTCCACTGTCTTTATGCAGACAGTTCTCCACCATAACTTCTCTTAATTTAATAAATGTTATTTATTTAGCCAGGGTTATCTCTTCAGCATAAAATGCTGCTATCAATGAGGGCCCTGAAAAAAAATTTTAAAAAAAATCTTGCTTAAGGTATTAGATCTGCTATAAACCATTCCATTTGAAAAATTTATCTCTAAAATAAATATTCCGGGGAATTGCCGGGAATTTAATACATTTTTCCTCAACATTTTGTGAATAAACCTGGCAAGTTTCAGCGTGGTATTATCAATCCTCATCTTTTTACATCAATTGGTTTTCAGTGTGGTAAACGCACCTGCAAAAATGCCCTTAATTTTTGTCGCGCTGCGCTGTTTCTTCATCACAATCTTGAATTTTTATGAGTAAACCGCTGTTCTTAATGTTTGTTGTGACACTGACCCGATTGTAGCGCGGAAAGTGGCAAGAAAATGCGAAAATCTGAGTTTGAACTCATTACGTGACTTACTCTCAATTGATATGGCTTCGTAAACAATGTTTTAGCCTTAGCAACATGCTAATTTGCATAATAGGTCATTTAACTGCAGCCTTATCTGTCACTGACCTTGCAAGGATCATATATCTAAGATGTCTCTAGAAAGCTTTTTACGGCCATAGAAATGATTTAGAAATATGAAAATAATAGTACTTTATTCGGGGAAGCAGAATGTAAGTGAATTTTGTTATACAGTGGAACCCCGCTATACGACCACCCCGTTAATACGACCACCCCGTTATTGCGACCACTTTTTTGTGGCCCGAACAAAAGCCCACTCATTTTCTTATCTGAAAACCCCGTTAATCCGACCACCCCGTTATTACAACCAACGACCACCTTTGGGAGTCCTGGGTCGTTATTTTCTTTATAAAATTACCGCGTTAATACGAACAGTCAAAATGCTTGGTGGGGCTGCTGAATGAAAACAGACACAATCTGGAAAACAATAACCCATTACTAATATTTTATTGAATGTTCTTAGGCAAAGATGTTAGTGGTTAGCATGACATCCGGTAAATTGTTGTGTGCAGTAAAATGGATGCATGAATAAACAATACAAAAGACCTGAAAGACTTCACTTTGCAGCATTTCGAGGCTCTCAAAGTTATTTTGCCTTCTTGTTTCTGCCGCCTTCCACTGTGGCTTTTCTCTTCAAGTCCATTTCCTTCTCTTTTCTCCCAGAACTTTGAACTTTTTAATAATTGTGAAAGTGTTGTAAGCAACAATATAGAAAACGGCTCTTCGAGACAAATCACAAGCCCTTTCCTTTCATAACAAGGAACTGAAAGAAGTCAGTGTTTTTTCGCATTACTCGGTTTCGTTTACTGTTACATTGTTCAGTTGCATTCAATTGCGGTTGTAAGGTTGTTAATTAACTGCAAAAAAGGTTGATTTATAACGGATTAAAGGTATACATGTAGTAGAATGTAGTTTAAAAGCATTTTGCACCATAATTTGACCCTACCCTGTAAATACGACCACCCCGTTAATACGACCAAATTTCCATGGCCCGAAGGTGGTCGTATTAACGGGGTTCCACTGTAACTTGCCCTGACTTACTTGAAAATCATAACAAATTATCGCATGTCGGGTTGTGAAAATTGCAACGTTTCTGTCAACAACATAAAGTATCGCGTCGGATTTCAGCCCTGTGATCATTAATACTGTATTTCCAAAATAGCGCTCCTAGATACCAACTTTGGCCTTCGTTTTTCCGGCCTCTACTTAACAAAAATGCTTCGTTTTTGGAATTTGAGTTCAGGTTGAGAATACATTTCAAATAAGCAATTTTACAAGCATGATCATTTTCTGACTTTATAGCAGCTGTTCTAATACCTTAAGAATCATGGTGCATGATGTTGCTGGAGGAAACCTCCCCTGGCAGTTGTGCCTCATTAAGCCTGCATACCTTTTGGAAGGCTGACTGCCATTGGTCAAAGGGCCACTTTACTGTGTGGGCCCTCCTCTAATAAGTCAATTTTGAGAGCGTCAAGAGGGCCAGCTTCAAGAAGCATCATGTTTTTTAGTAGGGGTAGCTGGTTTGAATTTTATCCTCTGGAATATTTGAAGGGGTATTGGAAAACATGTTGAAAGAATAATGGGCTTCTTCTCAGCATGTATCAGTGCATTTCTTGGGAATGGAAGTCAAGTTACCTTGTCCAGAAACTGGGGTTTAAATGGGATATATATTGTGGTTATAGAAGACTTCCCATTCAACCTTTTTTTTGTATTTGCAAATGGTGCTAATTGTTCATTCTAATTATATATATAACTCTACATATGTGTAGTTGGACTTTAGTGGCCCATTAATTGCATAAATTTTCGATACAATACTTCATTCTTTCCATTCCATTTGGGACAAACTCTGTCATTGATATTTTCTGTTTAGTTTCAGAATGTAAGGGTGAGAAAATCAGAATGAACAAGACAGTCTCTATTTCATCACCTGGTTATCCGGATGTCACATCATCTGGTCTAGAGTGCACTTGGATGGTAGAAAGCACAAAGGGAAAATCTGTCCTCGTAAAAAGCATTAGCCTTAGTTTTGGATCTGACATTCAGGATGAATGTGATAAAGGAATGCTTGAAATTTTTGATGGCTGTGACAAAAAACGCTTTTTAGTGGAGAAGATTTGTAATCGTAGAGCAGAATATGATCAGAAAGAAGACTTGTGGGTTTCATCTGGATCATGCATCACCATCAAGTTTTCATCAGGATCAGGAAACAAATATAACTTTCGACTGAGTGTTGTTGAAACAGAGGGTAAGATAAAATACAAAACATTGTACACTTGACTGAGATTTACCTGTATTTTGGAACAAAAATTTACTACTAGTTGGTGGGGTGCATATAAATAAAGAAAAAAGCCTCTTATTGACTTAATTTATGTATTGGCCGTGCCTGGGTGCATGCTCAAGAGAACTTGAGAAACTTGAGCTGTAGTTGCCCTCAGTTACCTTCTTGTTACTTTTACATGCCTAGCTAGTTTCAAAGTTTGCTCACCAACTTCTGACATGCATCCACCACTCAATATTACATGCTGCAGCATTTATCATTGGTACAAAATGTAAATTTGTTAATTCCATAGCCTTTGTAGTATGACAGTGATTCCATTGTAGAGTCATAGACAACCGCACATGTAGAGTCTCCTTCAGGAAAAAAGCTTAGTGCAAAAAATATGGTACATGTGGAAGTAGAAGCATGGAGAGAAAAAGGACTACACTGTAAACTAATAAACCTCAAGCTTTCCCTTCTTCTTTTTTCTTCATTAATTTCTCCAAACTGTACATTACATTCTTCAGGGATTTTACCTGTGACCCTCTCTTCTTTTTCTTTCAGAACCTTGTGGAGATATTTTACACCACACAAACAAGAATCAAACTTTTGTAGGATCTCTAATGTCTACTCCCAGAGGTCCAAACAAGTGTGTTTGGATTATCTCAGTGCCCAGAGGAAAAATTGAGCTTGTGTTTAAAGACAAATTTCTAGTGACAAGCCATGGGAAAAACTGCAAGGATGATTTTGTACAAGTTCAAGATGGGAAATTTAGGTAAGCTGACGAAACTAACATTAAAGTGTGAAAAACCAAAGATAAATGTATAGTACATTGAGAAGAACTGGATGAGGCTCCCTTCTGAGCCCAGTTCTTATGTAGGTGACTTGAGTATCAAATTTTAATGTGGAACAGATTTTGTGTAAACAGAAAATATCAGGCAATCAGCCAATATGAATATCAATGCAGAATAAATTACGACTGGGAAAAATAGAAACTAAAATGTGACTGCACCCGAAGGAGGAGGTTGCCAAGAATAAGGCTCTGTTTCTAACTCTTGATCTTATTTTAAATTCCCTCCTTATTTTACAAGAAATACGTGGCAATTTGAAAAGAGAATCTATTAGAGTATGACCATTCTGCTCTGAATCTACTGGTTCTATTTATTGAACGTGTAAGTTATACATCATTTTCTTAATTAAATATGACTACCGTTTTGCCACCTCTATAACCTTATATTACTATGAAACATTTCCGGCATGTTTAGTTGTCCACTGTAAGTTTTTGTTACATTGTTGGCTTAATGACCAGCAATTACCAGCATACAGAATTCGTTCATTAGCGTGGCATCCAAGGAAAGAGATGTCTTCTCTCACCTGCAACATTAAGCCACTTTTTGGACATCTGAAAACACTAAGTCTTGTTATTCTTTAGAGTAAACTTCCTTTCTTGACTTTTATTACCAGTATCTCACCTTTGCTTGGGACATTTTGTGGAACTGCAAGGCCATATCCAGTGTATTCAACAGGCCAATATCTTCGAGTCACATTACAAGGAAGTAGTAGTGGCATGAACTTAAAGCATTCCTTTACAGCACAATTTAATGTAATAGACAGTAAACCAACACCACGGACAGGTAAGCCAGCATCCTTTGGACTCCAGTTTTGAGTGAAAATTACTTTTAATTTGGCTTTTGTTCATGTATAAGATAATTCCACTCTCTCAGTGACCTGAATTCACCCCCCTTCCCCTCCCCCTCACCAGTCTAGAAATGGACATGCTGCCAGATGCCTGGTGAAGTAAGGCAGAAATGTATTTCGAGGCTTTAGTTGAAAAACAATTCCACCAATATGATTAATTATCAAATGTAAAATCATTGATCAACTAATAATATTCCGCTTAATACATGGCCACAAGATCATGGAAACATGAGGTAGTAAGCACACCCTCTCTCCATATTCATTTTTATAGAAATATATAAGTTCTAACCCACAAAAAAGTCACGGCCCTCTTCCCCACGAACCTCCCCTCAACTCCCCCCTTCCTAACTTTACCTGTTAAAT